GTTCATCGAGTCACTGATCCAGGGACAACTCGCTGGCAGAACAGTTGCCTTTGCATCTCCTGAATTTGCTCTCCAAACCGCGTTTGCTCCCCTGCACACTACTTTGTCTCCGAGATGAGCCTGTCAGCCTCTCCTGCAGTGTGTGTGCGTGATCTGCCCCAGGGTCAGAGTAAGCCCGTTTTCATTTACGAATTTTAAACCTCAAACTCAAGCAAAAACCTCTTCTATGCTGAAACACACATACACGCTCTCTGCTCCTCTCAAAAACGCATTAATACATCAAAGAACTGGAAAAAATGTAAGTCAGGATCGTCTGGATATTGCTTTCGGGTGCCAGCGAGAAATAATCACTGGGTTTTATCTTATTGTTTATGTGTGAGAGAGAAAGCGCAAGAAGAAAATAAATGTGAGAAAAAAGTGTGTGTCCGTGTGTGTAATTAGCACATCTGTCGCTAGGTTCCAGGTGAGAGTGGCACCTTCAAACATCTGGAGGAAGGACTGCTCCATCTGCCTCTTTCTTTCTCTCCTCATCTTTGTCTTCCATTCTTATCCTTCTAGCCCCATACAAATATTAGTTTACACATAAATAAATAAATACACATACATACATACTTTACTTATATGTCAGTTGCTGTAGCAATTGTATGGAATTTAATGATTACACTTTTGATTACAATTCCACTAATCAGTGAGCTTGTCATACAATTTAGCCAAAATAAAAATAATTGTAGCCTACACTACTGTTCAAATGTTTTGGGTCAGTATGAATTTTATTTATTTTTTTCCAAAGAAACCTGAAAAAAAGCAATAATTTTCAAAAAAATATGAAGCACAGCTGAGCACCAAATCATCACACTGGAATGATTTCTGAAGGATCAAGTGACACTGAAGACTGAAGTAATGATGTTGAAAACTCAGCATTGCATCACAGGAATAAATAAAAAAATTTAAAATAGAAAAGTTTTTTTTTTAAATTGTAATATTTTCACAATATTTGACTGTATTTTTGGTATACAGCCTTGGTGTTTCAAAAACATAAAAATAAAAAATAAAAAAAAAACGTACCAACCTGAATCTTTTGAATATATTAATTATATTATCTTGTGGCATCAAAAAAAAATCTTAAAACATAATCCAGCACAGAAAACGCCATCAGACTATTTTAGTATGTTGTTCCGTCTACATCAAAATTGTTAATGTAACCGAATGTGATTTGTTTTTCCTGAATAAGAGCTAGTTTCACATTTCTTATTTTAATCTCAGCGTTGCATCACAGGAATAAATTTAATTTTTTAAAATAGAAAACAGTTTTTTTTTTAATTGTAATATTTTCACAATATTTGACTGTATTTTTGGTATACAGCCTTGGTGTTTCAAAAACATAAAAATAAAAAATAAAAAAAAAACGTACCAACCTGAATCTTTTGAATATATTAATTATATTATCTTGTGGCATCAAAAAAAAATCTTAAAACATAATCCAGCACAGAAAACGCCATCAGACTATTTTAGTATGTTGTTCCGTCTACATCAAAATTGTTAATGTAACCGAATGTGATTTGTTTTTCCTGAATAAGAGCTAGTTTCACATTTCTTATTTTAATTCGACCATTTTTCAGACATAAACAGGAGATTATTTTTATATCTGGAGGTAAACTGAGTGAAAGCTCGACAGACTTTCCATTTTGCCTGTCTCTGACCCCGATGACCTTTTCTCCTTCATCAATGACAGAATGACTAATTATGCAAAACAATTGAAAACTGTAGGGAAAAAGGACAGAAGGTGAAAACAAAATCAGCAAAATTGCATGATCAAGAAAGCAGGCATCAAAATAACTCCAGCACACACGTAGACACAACTTCTGAGGGGGGAAAAAATCTAAAGATGTCAGACTGCAGAGGAAAGTGGATGATTAATGGACGACGTAGATCTCAAAAACACAAAGTGCACGGCAAACAGAAGAGCATCCCTTCCTTTATTTTACAAGAGTTTTGTACAGTCCAAACAGCTGCTGTGTTTCTAAACCGATTTCTGAACAGCGTATAAACAACACAAAATAACAGACACAAAGGCAGAAACAAAAAGCCAAAAACCCTGTACAGAGTATTGTAAACAAACTAACACAAAAAAATAAGAAAATCGGACATGAATCCACTGGAAACTCCATATCTCTGCCCGCTCGTGACCTCTGACCTTTTAGAACAGCATATGGAGACTGTTGCTAGGATACAAACATAAATAAAATAATCTGTGTCAAAGGCGCCACATATTTAACGCTTCTTCATTAAAATTGTTACAATCTGGAAATCTGACATTTAAAAAGGTGCAAAAGAGGTTTTGTTCATTTGAAAAGGTTAAAAAGGAGGCAAATGTACAAAACAGGATGAGCAGGGCAAGATCACAAGCTAATTTCCATACTAGGTTCGGAGGAACAAAGACGACAATAAAAAACTTCGTGTCACACTGAAACTCTTTTCATGTTATCATCTTGATATCCTCTCTCTCACACACACACACACACCAAACGCACCCAACCATCTGTGCCTGGGCAGTAGAGTGTGTTGCACACCATGTGTCCCACTGTTATGTGTCAAACGAGCATCGGCTGGCTCATATGGCACTGCCCCCGCGCACGCACACACACGCACACACACAGAGCACTGACCTAGCCTCTTACACTCCAGTCTCAGAGTGTGTCAGCTCAACGGGAGCTCTTGATTCAAAGCCCAGAACTTTCAGAGACTCAAAGTTCCAGTTTGAGATCTCAAAGATTCAGTGACGCTTCCAGTGCTGGCTTTAAGAACGTGAGTAGTTGAAGACTTTCTACTTAAATAATCAATAAAGTCCATCAATCTGTCCATCTATTTAAAGAATGGTGTGTGGCTGTTTTTCGAAATGTAATTTTAACACACTGCATACTATTAAAAAAAAAATTTAAAAAAAATTTTTTTTTTTTACTCCAGTTCAGTTTAAGAAACTCAAATTACTGAAAGTTGAGAGTTTTTAAAAACAAAACTGGACTATTATTACTTGAAGTTTAATATTAATTAAAAATAATTTGAGAGTTTCTTAAACATATATATTATATATGTAACCCTGGACTACAAAAACAGTCAAAAAGGTAAATTTTTTGAGATTTGAGAAATTGAGATTTATACATCGTCTGAAAGCTGAATAAATAAGCTTTCCATTGATGTATGGCTTGTTATGATAGGGATAAAAATTAGATACAACTATCTGAAAATCTGGAATCTGAGGGTGCAAAAAAAATTTTTTTTTAAATTGAATTATATATATATATATATATATATATTGAGAAAATCGCCTTTAAAGTTGTCCAAATTAAGTTCTTAGCAATGCATAATATTACTAATCAAAGATTAAGTTTGTATATATTTACTGTAGGAACATTACAAAATATCTTCATGGAACATGATCTTTACTTAAAAGCCTAATGATTTTTGGCATAAAAGAAAAATCGATAATTTTGACCCATACAATGTATTTTTGGCTATTGCTACTTAAGACTGGTTTTGTGGTCTAGGGTCACATATATTAAACATTCTATATGTATGTATGTATGTATATGTATATATATATATATATATATATATCAAATTGAATTTTTCAATTAATAAATGAAGAGTTCAGATGCAAAAGCCTCTAAGTGCCGTCTGAAATTTTCTTCTAAAATTAGCATTTTTATCAGGTTCCTATGCTTAGGTTCAGTAATTTTACAAATAATGGCAATGTATAGGTCCTTTTCTATGCCATTAAAGTGAAAGAACTGAACATAAATATAGGAGCTTTATAAAAATGGTAATTTTAGATGAAAATTTCAGATGGCACTTTGAGGCTTTTGCATCTGAACTCTTCAAATATATAACTATTTAAAGCTCACTCTCTCTTGTTCCCTCATTATATTATACATACATAATTCGTTTTAAGCTCACACTCTCCCTACATGTGTATAATCACACATGGAGAAAAAAAGATACACACTTCATTATTTCCAAGCTATACGTATTTTATATTTTTACATATTTAGTAGATGTAGATATCTAGAGAGATAGACAGATGTAGTACTGCTGGTGTGGTATTCCAAACACAGCCTCTGTGTGTGCATTTATGCATGTTTAAGACAATCGTTTTGTCTGAACTTTCACACAGTGCTGTGGCCTGTCAATACAGGGGCAGCTGGTGTGTGTGAGGAAAAATTCAGTGTGGGTCATCTGGGAGACAGGAACTCTCTCTCTCTCACACACACACACACACACACACACACACACATATTTAGAGCTTCTCAAACAGAAAAGTAGTTTTAACTCTCATCTGGCTCTTTAACGCCCCCTATTGTTGGACTGTTGTGCGGCTAGCAGCTATTGTAAAAAACGCAAAGTAAACTTGGCAACATCATAAATAGATCATGAAATAAATACTTTAACTTTACCTTGTAGATTTTTTTTCTGTTATAAATTCATAAATAAATAAATAAATAAATAATGGAAAAAAGCATTTGTAATCTATTGTGCTGGTGTGTGTGTGTGTGTGTGTGTGTGTGTGTGTGTGTGCGTGCGT